GGCGTGGCGGCGCCCGCCTGGATCCAGCGCCCGCCGAGCTCGCTGTTCACCTTAGGGGCAAAAAATCCACCCCCATAACAACCACCCCGACCAGCGAGGCCGTTTAGTAAACGCGCCCAGGGAAAGAATCAAACAGGGCAGGGCTGTTTAGGAAACGCCCAGGGCCGTTCAGGAAACGCCAATTGTCCGGTCCGGGTGGTTTTTCCTCCATTGACACCTTGTCCACGAACTTCCCAAGGAGCCCGCACTCCCCGACGCACGCGCCCACGGCGCAGCCGCGGGTGCAGCGGACGCGGGGAGCCCAGAACGCCACCTCCCCGCCGGCGCGCTCGCTCCGGAACGGCGGCGGCATCGGGACGGTGCTGGGCACGTCGCAGTGCTCGTACACGCTGACGCTGTCGGCGCTGTGCTCCTCGCACACCTCCACCTCGGGGACCACTGCGTCGTTATTAATGATGGCCACGAAGTCGGCCTTCGGCCCCAGCACCTTGATGGACTCCCTCGTCTTCTCGATCGAGGCCTCCAGCACCTGTCTCGGCACGAAGCGGCCCGTCTTCCGGCCGCGGGCTTCGGCGCGCTGGAAGACCAATTCGGGGCGGCAATGGACGTACACGATGGCGATCCGGTGCCGAGGGAACCTGTCCCGAATGTCCTGGAAGACGCGGCAGTACCACTGGTGGTCCGCAAGGCTGCCGTCGACCCAGACGTGGTGGCCCCGCCGCAAGGCCACCTCCTGGGCGAGCTCTTGGAGGAAGCCGGACTCCTTGTGGCACATCGTCCCCGCCTCGGCAGGGGAGTGCCGCTTGTACCCCTCCCACTCTGGCATGGTGGCCTTGAATCGGTCGGGGTCGATGTGCACCATGTCCTCGAGGGGGAAATCGTTGTGCCTCGAGAGCCAGCCCATGGCGTGCCCCTTGCCAGCACCCATGGCGCCACACGTGAAGATCAGCCAGGGCTGCACCTGCGCGCCCGTACCCCGCACCACACCACGGATGGCCTCGTCCTGCCAGGCCTGGCGCCCCAGGCTGTAGTTGGTGTGCCACGAGTAGTCAAAGGTGCGTCTGATGTCGGCGAAGTCCCCCGCCACCTCGCCGTGCACGAGCGGGTTGTACCCCGAGCTGGAGCTGGTCCCCCGCTCGTTGTCCACCAGGTAATCTGGGTGCCGGTGCACTTCGCAGGTCGGCTTGGTGTAGTCGTATTCCGCCACCTCGCCAACCTCCCCAGACATCCGGCCGCTCCAATTTGTTCGATGCGTGGGCCGCGGAGGTCTCGACCACTTCCCCGGGGCCGGTTTTTCGTCGGAGATCGTTTCTTGACGGTCCCGAGGCCCGGCAAGGGCCCCTGGAGGCCGAAAACAACCCTACGCCTGCAGCTCCAATTTTTGTTGGAGCGTCGGATTTCTGGGTCCCGCACCTCGCCGCCGTCGCTCCGCCCGGCCGAGCGGACCCCGCGCTGCTGCCGCGGCCTCCAGCGCGGGTTCGAGGCCAGCAGCCCCGAGGCCGCCGCGGCGGCCGCGCGCTTGCGGCCGCCGGCGCCGCGCGGGCGGGTGTCGCGGAGCGCCCTCGTGGCGCGCCCACTCCGCCCCGCCGCGGTCGGCAACAGGGCGAGCTCGGGCACGGGCCAGGGCCTCTCCGGAGCCAGCCGCGAGGGCCCCGCCACGCCCGCGGCCTCAGCGACCGCTGCGGCGGGGCGGTGCTGCAGGCTGGGTGGGGGCCCGCGCGGCATTGCACGATGGGCCGCCCGGGCCCCCCTGGGGGGCCGCTTGAGCCAAAATGGCTGCGGAGACCACCTGCAGCCGTCTTGGAGCGCTCTGGCGGTCTTTCGGAGCCCTCTTGGGCCGCCCTGACGGCGCCCTGGAGCCACCTTGGACGGCGGGCTCCCCCTCTTATCACCCGGGCGACTCCAACAGAAGGCCCATGGGGGGCCATCTGGAAGGAAAGCATTCCCAGGGCGCTCCGAGGAATCCAGTGGATCAGGCTTCCGCGGAAGAAAACAAGAAACCCTTGGCAAGGATCTCGGGCACGGGGGGGTCCCCCTGCCAAACATTCCGGAAGAGAAGTGAACTCTCAGCCGCGGGGGTGCTGGCGCGCGGGGTCCCACCCCCCAGCGCAACCAGACGAGGAAACTCGCGAGAGCCCAGATTGCAAAAGTAATGCAGCATCGCTATACTAGTAGCTGCACTCGGGACTTGTACTAGTATTACTTGCGATATTTCTGTATATACTGTCAACTCATTCCCCAATCGCGATTGTTTTCTGCTTATGTGCTCCCAAGTCGCGATCATATAGTGTTTCATTATTCCTATGTCACGAATCTATACTGTTTCCTTGAATGCCTCAATCGCAATGTGATAAGATCAGTTGTACTGCATGGCCAGGTACACTCTAGGAGCAGCTGCGCGCTAGCACATGATGGTACCAATTGTACTCAAATGATCGGTGTACCCTAGCCGGAGGGGTTCAAGGGTTCCAGTGGCAATACGCGAGCGGAAGAACGACCAACATCCATGCGCCGCCAGGGGTCCCAGGATTGACGGGTCGCCGCGAAAATGGACCCCCCACAAAAGCAAGAAAGGAGCTCCGGCAGGGGGGCTTGGGGGGTTTAGGCATGAGTCGCGGGGGCGATCCCCTCTTGGTTGGCATCTCTTGGGGCCGCCTTGGGCGCCTCGGGGAATCTTCTGGGGCGCCTCTTGGGCGGTCTTGGCTGCCGTCTTGTGGGCATCTTGGGCCCTCTTGGGATGATGATCGGAACCTCTTGAGCCATCTTGGACGCCCGCAGTGCGAAACCGGCGATGATGCGAAACACATACATCGGCGGGAAAAAAAACAATCCCAACAGCCCTTTAGGGCGCGAGTGGTTTAGAGAGTTTCCTCTTCCAGCCCCCTTCTTTCCCTTCGGGAAGGGGTTTACCCCTCCCCCTCCCCCTGGGCCTGGACAGGGGGGGGGCCGTCTTGAAGCCATCTTCCGACGATGCGGGGCCATCTCAGGGCCTCCTCGGGGTCTCCTGGAGGTCATCGTCGTGGTCTGAGGTCCCAATGATACCATTCTGGGGCCAGGGCGTCACACGGTCATTGTGCGCACTTGCACATACTTCTCCTTAAGACTTTCCAGAGAAGCTCGTGTTGCAACACAACAGTGCTGATGTTTGTGTCACGCCGGAGTCGCAGCTAAACGCGGGCAGCTCAACTCGGGCGGTTAGAAGACAGAGCGCGAGCACGACCAGGAGGACGGGGAGGGACAGGAGGAGGAGGCGGAGGAGGAAAAGGAGGGGCACAGCGCTTAAGCGAAAGAGGAGGAGGATGAGGAGAAGGAGGAGAGAAAGAGGAGGAGCGAGGGGGCTGTCCTGCGAGCGCGGCAGATATCTCAATGCGAGACAACGCGGTGTCGCACTGCTAAATGAACCTGGTACAAAGCGTAGGCGTAACATGCTCGAAACACTCTCTGGTTGGATGGTTGCAAGTTTCTATCTTGATTCCCCTCACCATCGCCCGTCCCGCCCCCCAGATTCGTTTAACCTTTCCGACTTACAACCACGGCGAACTCAAACAACTCGCCTGTGGAAGGACCCAACCAAATGCAGGTGTGAATACCGCAATTGTGATTCACTTTTTCGGTGGTGATCCCTATGAGGCAACGAACCGTGCTGGGGGTGTGCCGAAATGAGTGGCGTGGTACACGACGCGAACGAAAACGATTGATCTGAGTACGTGGGGAGACTGCGCGCGGGTGAATCTGAGCGCGAGTGCGTCTGACTGTGCATGAATCTGCGTGCGAGCGAGTCTACGTGCACGAATGCGAGTATGACAAAGCATGGTGTAATTCTATATGAATGTCAATAGTTTGAGAACGACTGCCTCTGAATACTCGTGACGCTGGGCGTGGCCGCCGCAAAGGGCTTCCCCGGGACTCCCCGACGGCATCGCCCGCGCGCCGCGACGCCAATGTCGGCGCGCCCCCCCGCGAGGATCGCGCCCGCTTCCTCCCCTTCTTTTGCTCCCTGTTTGCCCGCGCACTCAAAAGTCCAAGGCTGCGGGCGCAGCGCAGCGCGGAGTCCCAGCGACGCGCGCAGGTCGCCCCGGAGGGGTCCCAGCGACGCGCGCGGGTCGTCCGCTGCGCGGAGCAAATAGAGCTAGCTGGCTGGCTGATAGCGGGCAAGGCTCTTGCGCTGGGCAGAGCGACGACGGGCGAGCGAGGCGCGGAACTCCGACGGCCTCCGACGCAGGTCTACTGGGTGGGGGAGACGCATGCGGACTGCGCCACGGGGACCTTCAATGGAACTCCCTATGGGGCCACGACACGCTGTAATGGGCAGGGGAACCGCATGCGGACTGCGCCACGGGGACCTTCGGTGGAGCCCCTATGGGGCCACGAAACGCTGTACTGGGTGGAGGAGACGCATGCGGACTGCGCCACGGGCACCTTCGGTGGGGCTCCATATTGGGCCACAAAACGCTGTGCAGGTTGGGGGAGACGCATGCGGACTGCGCCACGGGGACCTTCGGTGGGACTCCATATGGGGTCACGAAACGCTGTACTGGGTACTGGGAAGATGGGGGAAACTGGGTGGGGAGACACATGCGGACTGCGCCACGGGGACCTTCGGTGGGGACATATGGGCCACGAAACGCTGTACGCATGCGGACTGCGCACGGGGACCTTCGGCGGAGCCCCTATGGGGCCACGAAGCGCTGTACTGGGTGGGGGGACGCATGCGGACTGCGCCACGGGGACCTTCGGTGGGGCTCCATATGGGGCCACGAAACGCTGTACTGGGTGGGGGAGACGCATGCGGACTGCGCCACGGGGACCTTCGGCGGAGCTCCATATGGGGCCACGAAACGCTGTACTGGGTGGGGGAGACGCATGCGGACTGCGCCACGGGGACCTTAGGTGGGCCTATGGGGCCACGAAGCGCTGTACTGGGTAGGGGAGACGCATGTGATACACACCACTGGGGCCTTAGGTGGACCTCCCTATGGGGCCACGAAACGCTGTTTTGGCTGGGGGAGACGCATGTGGTACACACCACTGGGCCTTAGGTGGACCTCCCTATGGGGCCACGAAACGCTGTACTGTGTGGGGGAGACGCATGTGGTACACACCGCTGGGGCCTTAGGTGGACCTCCCTATGGGGCCACGAAACGCTGTACTGGGTGGGGGAGACGCATGTGATACACACCACTGGGGCCTTAGGTGGACCTCCCTATGGGCCACGAAACGCTGTACTGGGCGGGGGAAACGCATGTGATACACACCATTGGGGCCTTAGGTGGACGTCCCTATGGGGCCACAAAACGCTGTTTTGGGTGGGGGAGACGCATGTGGTACACACCATTGGGGCCTTAGGTGGACCTCCCTATGGGGCCACGAAGCGTGAGAGGAGGAGAGGAGGGAGGAGGAGGAGGAGGAGGAGGAGGAGGAGGAGGAGGAGGAGGAGGAGGAGGAGGAGACGCGGGGACCGTCTCCTCGAAACGAGGACCCAACAACACAGGTTGGTTGGGAAAAACATACGAAAGAAGGAGAGGGAGGAGGAGAAAAGGCAATCAACATCAAGACATGGCCGTCTAAACGGTCGGAGCCGCACGCTGCACATTGCAGTCAAAACTGTCAATCGCCCCAGAAGCGGGCCGGGTAGGGAAGAAGAGGGGCAAACCTGCGCGTGCGTAGGCCGATCTGACTGGACAGCGCCCAGACCGAGGCCCTCGCGAGCACAACCCCAAACATAGAAAATGGGAATGGTGAGAACACGCAATGGAAATAGATGGAGGTAAGCTGAGAGATATAACGCCGCATGGCAGGTGGAATACTACAGAACAGCGCCATGAAACGATGCCAACATCTATAATATGTGTTGCCGTTGTCTGCACAGCCGTGTTCAACAAGCAGGACCAGCACACCACGAATGCAAGCCCGTGAACAAAAAGCATAGTTGGTGCAAACATTGGGACACCTTCAATCGAGCCAGAAACTGTCAGCGCAGCTTGGGCAGCCAAGGAGACACTGTGAAAGGTTCTGAAATCGACGTTGCGAAGTACAAGTAGCAGCGAGCGTTTCGAGTACGGCAGAGCGCCAGACAGGAGGGAGGGAGAGGGTCACCGCTTGACATCGACCCCAAACTATGCCATCGATCTCCTCTTGATACTTTGGACACCCAACCCGTAGATGAGCGATGAAGGTCAAGGTGAGTTCTTCATCCTCCACGCGTGCTGCTCTCCGCCGTCATCTCCGTCCACCTCTGGGCGAAGACTGGGTGGAGCTCAGGGTTCCTCGCGCGACCACGCCGCCTGGCACTCCACCTCCCGGCGTTCTCCTCGCAGCCCTGCAGCTGTGCCGCCACGACATCGAGGACGGGCGCGGCGGGTCCAGCCCTGGCCAGCCGCGACCCGTTCCACTCGGCGGAGAACTCGCGGGCGTCACGGGGGGTGGCAGGAGTGTACAGACGAATGCCCCTTCGCGGTCCGAGCGTGAAAATCTGATGGCACGTAGGCGAAGCCATAGCGGTTCGCGGAGCCAGACCGGTTCATGAGGATCAGCAGTTCACTCTGCGTCACAGCCATCGGAATGTTGCGGATCATGAGCGTGGTGTTGGCTGGAGCGCCAGGGGATGAGGAGGAGGAGGAGGAGGAGGAGGCGACGGGCGCTGCCTTCTCGATTGACACCAGCGCCCTGGCCACGGGCTCACACTGTTGGAGCTTCAGCTCCTCAAGGCAGGCCTCCCGCTTGAGGATTGTCTGCCGGATGTCCTGCGCCTCCTGTCGGCTACACACACGAGTGACCCTGGGCAGGAGAGACCTTTGGTGCGCGGAAGAAGGGGGCGCGAATGGGCCAAGTCTAAGCACGCAAACAGCCGGTATCGCATCGCGCGCAGCAGTTGGGGGGGCCCCGATGAGCCCGCACCAAAGGTCACTCTGGCGAAGGGTCACCCTTACGTGTGAGCGGACTCCTCCCGCCTCTCTGCCAGCAGCTGCTCCAGCTCCAGGAGCCTGGCCCGCTGCACCTGCAGCGCCCCGCCGGCGGCCGCGAGCTTGCTGCCAAAGGCTCCTGCCCGCCTGGCACAGACCCGCCGCCCCGCCCGCGCCGCGAGGCCCGAGCCAAGCGCTGCCCCGCCCTCGGCGCGGGCGGGCTCCGCCTGCCGCGGCCAGTCGCCCAGAGGCCTCCCAGCAGGCGCGCTGCCCCGGCGGAGCGCGGCGGCGTGGCGGGCGCACTGGTCGGCGCTGCTCCGGCGGCGCCGTGGGAGCGGGGGAGCGCCGCCGGTTTCCCGAGGCGGCGGGCGCTCGTGAGAAGCCGGCTGGGCGCCGCCGGGGCTGGGTGGGTCATCGGGCGCGCGGCCGCCTCCGGTTGCCGCCCGCCCGAGCCCGCGCGGGTGGTCAAGCTCGTTGTCGGTATCCAATGGCTCGTTGTCGCTGTGACGGCAAGGCGGCAGGAGCTGCATGGCGGGGCAGGGCGGCAGGAACTGCATAGCGGGGAACGAATCCACGGTGGACTCCTGCTTGGTGGGCAATGAATGCAAACTGGGCCACCAATAACAGAAACCATCTGAACCTTTGAACCTTGGTATTGTGCGGATGAGGCTATGTTGGGGTAAGACGCGAAAGATCCGTGAGTATCCGTTGTTGACGTGGTCATAGGGACACCCTGACTGGGGAAACTGCATATTCCAGATGGGACGCAGAAGCCGCAAGCGTTGTAAGTGGCGTTGGGGATGCCACTTTGGATCCGCTGGGATGTTCCCCGCCTCGTTGGCGAGTCCATTGTTGTAGAGCAAAATTGAGGGATGAAAAAACGACCCTACCCTGGGTTACAAGTGCGTGGTCTGTAAACCTCCTGGGAACCCCCAAAGCCTAGAGCCGCCAGGACGCGGCACATCACGCAGGGTTTACCCTGTCAGCCCACAGGAGTTTCAGCGCACAGCGCCTCGTAAACCAGGGTAGGGGAGTTTTTTACGCCCTTGACAAAACGTAAGCTGTAGAAGAGGATTCGGTACAGTCGCCTGGATTAAAGCGTTGACCTAAAAGGTATTCTTGACACTCAACCGCTTGATCCCGAATGGTTACGGATGACATGAAAGCGATGATGGAAACGACTATGACGGTGACGACGCAAGGCCAATGACTGCGCCGATGCTCGATGACGATGATGGTGTCCTCGCGTCGGTGATGTTGGTTTTGGATGGATTTCGACATGCGCGCGCGTGGCCCGCATGGTATTATTTGACATGCATCGCGCCCCCCCCCCCCCGCACGTGCGCAAAGCGTTCGACTGATTTTGACATGCGCGCGCGATGGGTCCGTTTGGCCGAATCTGATGAACATGCTGAAACACTGAAGATTTTCTTAAGAATTCGCAAGAGTGCGCGCGCAGACTTTTTCCCGACACTGATACTGCAAAAGCCACTTGTGATTTGTGTGGTTTGGGACACTTGATTCTGAAATCCGTACGAAACCTAAATTTTTCAAGGATTTGTGCACGCGCGCGCGCGACGGCGCGCCCGTGTTTTTTCGTCCCATTTGATGTTCTCCGGGGTCGTCTGAAGGGTTGCCGGGAGGCCCGGGGAGGGCCAAATTTGTTGGGGGGGGGGGGGGTTCTAGCGTCCCTGGCCCTATAAAAATATATGAATAAGAATCTGGTCCAGGGTCTGGGCCCCCCCGCCGTGCTGATGCCATCGGCCCTCCCCCCCCCCCTGCGAGATGGTCCTGCCCCCCCCGCTGTGGGTGTGGTGTGGTGCTGTGGGGTGTGTGACGTGTGTGGCATGGTACTGTGATGCTCCAGTAGAGCTCTGGAGGTCGTCGTCGTCGCCGCCGCCGCCGTCGTCGTCGTCATCGGAGGGCTCCAGACCAGAGGTCGGCACCGCCGCCGCCGCCGCCATCGTCGTCGTCGTCGTCGCCGTCGCCGTGGTCGTCGTCGTCGTCGTCGCCACCGTCGCCGTCGTCGTCGTCGTCGCCGTCGGCGCCGTCGTCGTCGTCGTCGCCGCCGCCGCCGTCGTCGTCGTCGTCGTCGCCGTCGTCGTCGTCGTCGTCGTCGTCGTCGCCGCCGCCGCCGCCGCCGTCGTCGTGTTCGTCGTCGTCGTCGTCGTCGTCGTCGTCGTCGTCGTCGTCGTCGTCGTCGTCGTCGTCGTCGTCGTCGTCGTCGTCATCGCCGCCTCCGTCGCCGTCGCCGTCGCCGTCGCCGTCGCCGTCGTCGTCGCCGTCGCCGTCGCCGTCGCCGTCGCCGTCGCCGTCGCCGTCGCCGTCGCCGTCGCCGTCGCCGTCGCCGTCGCCGTCGCCGTCGAGGTCGTCGTCGTCGTCGCCGTCGTCGTCGTCGTCGTCGTCGTCGTCGTCGTCCCCCATCCCGCCAGGGGGGGTGGGGGGGGGCGTGGAGCCCTGGGACCCATCTCATCTGGGGGGGGGGGCGCCCGTGGGCCCAGAGCCCAAGATCATATATACATATATACACACATATATATACAGATAGATGTAGAGAAATATGAAAGGAGGGGAGAGAGAACGAGAGAGAAAGAGAAGGGGGGAGAGAAAGAGAGAGAGAGAGAGCGATTGATAAAACCTCATGGTCCCGCTGCTCTTCCTCCTCCTCCTCCTCCGCTTCCTCCTCCTCCTCCTCCTCCTCCTCCTCCTCCTCCTCCTCTTTCCCCTCCTCCTCCTCCTCCTCCTCCTACTCCTCCTCCTCCACCGCTTCCTCCTCCTCCTCCTCTTTCCCCTCCTCCTCCTCCTTCTCCTCCTCCTCCTCCTCATCATCATCCTCCTCGCTCCACTTCCTCATCCGCCTATCCCACCTTGCCCCAGGGCCTCATGCGTCCCTCCCTCCACGGCGCTCGCGTTCGCGTGGCCCGCCTCAGGATGAAGGGCGTGGAACAGCCCTTGAGGCGCGGGGCAAGCTCGCCCGCAGGGAGCCACCGCCTCCGGCGCGGTCGTCGGCGTCGTCGTTTGACGAGGGGGAGGAAGAGGAGGAGGAGGAGGAGGAGGAGGAGGAGGAGGAGGAGGAGGAGGAGGAGGAGGAGGAGGAG